CCGGCGAACGAAGCCATTGTCTTCTTCACGCTTAGTTTGGCCTGCAAAAATTAGAATGGTATACCCTTGATCGGTAGGACCGGTGCACCACGTGCCTGCATGTCAAGTCGTGCCTTGTAACGACCTTGGGTTGTTAGGTGAGGCTCCATGTATCTCTCGCAAAGTGCCTGGATGCTCGCCACTCTTCAGAAGACTTGAACCTATGGTCAATGATCCATGTTGCCAACAATTGGCCGGCCGCTTCAAGTAAGCGTTCCTCCACGCTGGGTAAAGTGAACACAAAGTCACGTTGGTGCTCGAGGGTCGTGACCATTTGCGTAGGGCGCCGAGTGCTTTTTCCTTGTTGAATGATTAACTGTTGCTGCTCGTTGAGCGAGTTCGTGATGATGGTACAATCCGAACCGGGTGTTGAGCGCGGCACCAATGGCGAATTCTCATCATCACGTTTAGGGAACGGACAGGAGGCAGTACGAGGTTGTACCTCAGACATAGGGGTATCGTAAATTGTCCCTGCATCACCCGGGACACTGGTATTGCTACCATGGTCCAAAACTTCCCTTATTTTATGATAATCAATGAGAAGCTTTGACTCGTTAGGTAGTGAGGACATCGTGCTAAGCTTTACGTTACCCTAGGGTTAACCGTAAGGGCACTGACCTCGTGGGAAAACAAAGTTCGATGGAAACATTTGATTGGGACAAGGTTAGATTGAAGTTTTGGGAAACGTCAGTATGGTGGGGGAGGGTGTTAAGGGGTTACACGTATCTGGGTGATTGGTTCCCTTTGTCTTAGACACACAGATTATATCCCACTGAAAGAGATGTAGAATATTCTGTCGGTTTACAGGGACTGACTGGTGTCAGCCACCAGATAAAGAGATCTTAGTTGTACTAACTTAGGATTTAAGTGTCTGATAGGATTAAGATATTCTACAGGTATAAATGTAAATGCAATTCGGTTTTCCTGTTTATCTTAAAGACGCGTGCCTTGCGAAGCGTTTTTGGTCGTTGATTGCTGATCACTACGAATAAGCAACACTTCTGTGAGGTAGCTAGTCGCTATTAAAAATTAACTGTTGTTGATTCACTGAATCGTTTGGTGCCTGGAACAAAGACCAGTAGCTACACGCTTGTTGACTCATTGAGTCTAAATCTTTGGAGCTAAGTTGCTCGTTGAGCATTAAGTCTTGCCTTGACTTAACGAGCTGTGTAGCTCGGATACAAATATCGTGACCAAAAAGAGACACAACTAGCAACGTAAAATTAGATTAAAAAACCTTAAAAAAATGAAACGGCTAGAGCACTTGTGGTCGCTTATCACGTAACAAAAAGTCCGAAAATATTCGTTTTCTGCGGCAAAGTTCGCGAGCGGCATGAGGAAGCACTTCCAACATGTTTCAAATCTTGAGCGATGGACGCACTCGTTGGGAAGCGCGTCAGCCATGGCGCTTGAAAAGATAAATTTAAACACGCGAGCATTGTGCTATTCCTGTAAATTTCGCACTTTATACCAGTCGAAGATAATGGCCAATTAATGTCACTATGTACCTCCTCTCCATTCACGATGCGAGACAATTTTTTTATCCGTGGTACAAGAATGGACCGGTACGAACGCTGTGTTAATTCTACTTCTGTGAAAGTAAACTGAAGCTGATAAAACTCAAGTTATGCACACCAACGTAAAGCGTGACCACAAACAGTCAAATTTTGCTATAACATCGTCATGCTTATGTATGTTCAGTAGCGCAGGAAGAGGTTACTACCAAAATCGTCGTCCGCAACTACAGAATGAAATTTGGTCCCAGTTGTTTGTGGGTTTCGATCTCAAAGGGCTTGCTAGTAAAATCCTGGACTTAATCAAGGAGTAAGAAGTCGACGATTCCATGTATAATGAACGTTACATAAAGATTGCAAGATCACGATCCCTTAGAGATTGCAAGACCTACCTAAAGGAAGAGCTTTGCAACCTCAGATTTTATTTGCATCATGCGATATATGGCTACCTCGACGACAAACGGGGTTTGTTTATACGCGAAATACAGGGTCACGCACAATTACTGCTTCAATCTGCATTCTGTACGATTAATTCGCGCTGGATTCGAAATCTTCTTCCATATCCCCACTTCTTCAGCACCCGCTGTGTGGATCGTTTCTACTGGTGCTACTGGCGCTTCTTTTACCGATGCTACTAGTTTCGCTTCTCGTATTGATGCTAGTGCCGAAAGACCGCCGATCGTATGTGTTTGCGCGAAGAGTGCCACCATCATAATTTAGTACCTCTAATTAAGGAGAAGCGCGAAGCCTTCAACCCATAATGATGGCTAGACGGTACCTTACACAATTGTGCGCGCTTCTGCTTTACTCGTTATGCGCCAGCTTAGCCTAACATTGCGAATCGCGGTCGACACCATGACTATGAGTGAGGGTGTGAAGGCAGCCAGCTTGAAGAAAACAAGAGTGTATAAAAAAAGGAGGAAAGCACGATCAACAAGATGAGCCTGTAGTTGCTGATCCACTTTATCTGGATCGAACTTCAATCACTGATAAGATAAGGGAGCGCGCTCGGTAGCTCTCTCCTTGATATAAGCAATTCAGTTCGGAGAAGGAAATAAATATTTAAAAAGACTATACAATTGTAGCTACTGAAGAATGAGTATGATGCTATCAGTGTATGTATTTTACTCAGTACAATTAGCTAGGGCAGCGCGATCGGCCTTTACTTATAAGCGTCCAGTTCTAGCTTTTGTGACATTATTCACCTTTTCATCGATTTAAGCCAAACAGGTGCGTGCTTCACAATACTAGCCCCGTCATTGGATGACACCTATCATGTCAATTGACTATGAGGAGGTAAAGGCTAGATCGCATTTAAAACTAGCAATATACACCCAACCGCGTCATTTATAGACACACAGATAAGTACGACTTAACAGCTCTGCACAAAGCCTTGCGCAAACTTACTTATAGCTTCACTCTTTAGGCTCGCAAAGCTTAGAACTTAACGCTTATCATGTAGCACTCTAAACACATAACTCTACCTTTTACGTCGTCATTATCTTGTTTAGAGTATGCGTTAAAATTTTCTTTTAGTTTTAGCATTTCATCTTGTTACTGTTTCTTCTCGCAAATAATTGTTAACGCACTGCACGTCATTTATTACCTTCATTACACGTTGGTATGACTATGTATCGACATCCACCGTTTAAAATGGCATTTTTGACGTCTCTGCCTCTGTTCAGAAATCTTCACGTACGAGCGGTACTTCCCCTCTTACCGTCATGACATCTTTATTCGTATGTATCGCTCGTCTCAGTTTTACAAATCACTTTTGACGTCTCTGTCTGTTGTCACGTACTATAATCTACTCGGTACTTTCATTTTACCATGATACTATCTTTACTTGACCGAATTACAATCTCTAGAGATTTTGTGTGGCACTTTTGGATCCTCATTCTTTTCACAAATACGTAATTATACGCGGTACTCCCCCTCTGACCATCAGGTTATCGTGATTCATGTATGGATTGATATCCTCAAGTAGGAGTGGTAATTTTTTGCGTGCATGCCTCTTGTCACAAATGTGAATAACGGCGTTGTACTCCATTTATAGCTTCCAGTTGGTACGCTTTTACTATAAGTCAGGGCGCTTGATCAGCGATTCGTATCATAATTAATTTTAATATTCAATTTGCTCAAATTTCTCCCTCTCGCTTCAGCTAATCAACACTTTGCCCGTTTGTTAGCATGACTCGACGGGAATTGTAGACAAATGGTGGACAAAGGAGTAGGATGGGTCGACCAGGCGGCCCTCGATCGCGCGGACAGTAGGATAGCGATAATTGCTGATTACTGGAGGGGTGTCCTGCACCACGTTTGTCCTTTGAGCGGAAGCACAGTCTGATTCACACTGATCACAACAGCCGCGATGGGATGGATGTTGTACTGATTATTACGTACCCGCGTCACATCTTGCCGGTTAGGCGAAGGCTATATAATCAACGAAGATTATAGCAGCCACGTTTGATGGTTGTACTGATAAAGGCGTACTCTCTTTACACTTGAAGCCTTGAAGAACATATCGATTAAACGGGTCGCACAACATCCATGTCAGGATGTTGCACTGATGGGGGTGTATCACGTACCACGCTTAAGGCTTAAAAGGACGTACTCTACTGACGAGTCGCACAGCAACCACGATAGGATGTTGCACCGATGAAGGCGTCCCTCCTTCACGTTTGCCATCTCGACGGACACATTCTGGTCAACGGGGATTTCTACAGCCCTGTCGGGATGGTGCACCGATGGAGGCGTACCCTGCACCACACTTGTCGTCCAAGTAGACGCACACTCTTTTTGTGGTGCCTGGGATGTAATGCCTTGATGGAGAATGGAAAGGGATTGCGTTAGGTCCTTAGTTCACACACAAGCTGCTACTCTAAGCCTTCTGGATTCCATGGATGATTCTTTCACGATTTTAACTAAGACTAAACTCGATGGATTGCACAACGTGCTCTTTCACGGTCCGTCCGCAACCTGTAGCGGGGTTGTTCAACGTGCGCGTAGACGAAGTCAACCGCAATCATTCTGGAGAAGGATTGCACCACGTGTGCGTAAACGGCGTCGAAAGCCATTTTGAAACGAGCGCCTTTACTACAACGCTCTGAGCGGAGTCCGCGTTGGTGCATCAGGAACTCTTATACTAAATTGCGCCAATGCGTAACTTGTCTGATGTTTTTCTTTTTCCCAGGTACACTCGTGCCCTGGAAGTCCACGCCACCGGACGAGTCAATCAGGTTGTCTTCTAGCCATGCGCTTTTTGACAAGCAATTCCACAATGTGCAACTCGTCACCGGTGGCTTCATCAAGTATCACTGGTACTGCTCTCGGCAACGTTCGACTGTTAAACCGCACAGAATTCGGCACAAAGTGGCTTAACAAATCGATGTTGAAGCTCGGGTGCAACTTGAGGAGTTCTTGAGGGAGAGTAAGCTTGGCCACATTCTAGTTGATCATTTTAATAATTTTGAACGGCTTAATCTTCTTCGCAACTAGCTTTGACTTTGTTAAATCTTGACCGTTGTTGCGATGGCGTAAATTGAGATGTCTAGAGTCAAGCATAACCATGTCTCCAGCATTAAACATAAAGAGATGTCCAGAGTCAAGCAAAACCTTGTCTTCAGCAATAAACGTAACACTGCTGCGTTTCCTGTCGTAACACTCTTTTTGTTTCTCTTGAGCATACTCCAAGCTCTTCCGTGCAAATTCGATGATCTTTTGTCTTCTGTCTGCAAACTTCTTAGCGTACTCAGATGTATAGTTCTTCGTCACGTTGTCCCTGGAGTCGCCTGTTATGGCGTTGTTGCATTTCCGCCCCGTGTCAATTTCGAATGGTGAGAGCTGGGTAGACTTGATCATTAGTGTAGCGTGCGCATACTCAACAGTACTGAGATGTTCTGACCAGTCATTTTCATGGTACGAAACCATACATCGTAGAGCATCTTCCAATATTAAATTTTGACGCTCTTATTGACCGTCCACTTGTGCGCGGCGCGATGTCGTCATTGAAAGCCTAGTACCAATGACCGCCATGAGAGATCTCCAAAAGTGGGAAGTAAATTTCGGGTCGCGATCACTTATGTTGACCTTCGGTAGACCGTGATAGCGGACTACCACATCAAAAAAAAGTCTAGCAACTTGTGGCGCGTCGACGTTGGTGTGCGTGGCAGCTTATCTTGGACGTTTCGACAGTTTGTCAAATACAGTCATGATCGCGTCAAACCCGCTTGACACTGGTAGTCCCGTAATACGATCCATCGATAAAACTTCCCAACAGTCTTCTGGTATAGGTATTGGCATGAGCTTTCAATTTCTCTTCAGCGTGCTCGTCTTCTATCGCACACCTGAACCACATTTTGATACGTAATCGCGTACATCTTGTTCCAAGTTCAGCCAAAAGTACCATTGCGCCACCTTTAACTGCGTGCGACGTATTCCTAAATGTGCCGCTGTGTTCCCATCGTGATGTTCTCGGAGGATACCGGTGATCAACCGATTGTCCGATGGAACGCAGAGTCGATTGACAGCATGCTTTGTTTTCAGATAAAGAAGCTCATTCTTCAACACGTACTTCTCATGAACGTTCTTGAGAGCACTCTTAAATTCCCGATCATGCGCATAGCCGACCTTAAACGATTTCTTCATCGCAGGGGAGAGGTGCACACTTGATACCACGAACTCGATGTGCTGGACTTGATCCTGCACGTGTACTTGTTGAATCTGATTTACACCAACGTGGTGAAGTACACCACTCACCACCCGAAGGTCATGCACATCAAGCAGAAGTTCTTGATCAAGACGTGAGAGAGAGCACAGAGCTGTCAATTGGACACCGTGACGACGCAAAGTTGTATCGTGAACAACGCACTGCTGCCCACAGTCATGAACACGAGACATTTTAGCTGATAAAGGTTCTGCGAGTGGAGTGACCCCGTTCGGCCGTGACAACGCATCGGCGACCACGTTGGAGGTGCCTTTGACATGGTGCAATGTAAAGTCGAATTGCGAGAAAAATGTCAACATTCGGGCCAATTTTGGTGTAAAAATGGGATGGTGAAGCATCCAGCGGCACGCAGTACTGTCTGTAAACACATCGAAAGAACGTCCATGAAGTTAATGGCGCCATTTGAAAAAGCCGTCTTGATCGCTGATAGTTCTTGCTCGTGGGCAGGCCACGTTTGCTTATGAACCCCAAGCTTCTTAGAGTAAAATGCAATGAGGTGATCTTTGCCATCCGCGATCCGGGACAGGACGCCACCCATGCAGCACCCGGAAGCCCCTGTGGTGACAGTAAACGGTATCGCGAAGTTCGGTAGCTAAAGCACAGGTGCTTGTTGTAGGGCGACCTTTATGTCACGAAATGCTTTGTCTTGATCGTGCGACCACTCCCACTGCACTCCCTTCTTAACGAGCTTCGGAATTGGATAGTGCAATTTGTGCAAAAGCACAGACAAATTGTCGATAGTGTCCAGATAATCCGAGAAAGCTCATCAGATCTTTTCGCGTGCTTGGTGCCTTCATCTGCTCAATAGCTGCTGTCTTCCGCTGATCCACACTCAAGCCATTCTTTGACATTGTATGACCAAAAAGCGCTACACTGTCCTTGCCAAAAGAGCACTTTCCCCGATGTGCGTAGAGCTTCTCTTTGCGCCGTACCTTAAACATTTCGCGCAGGTGCCGAATGTGATCTGCGTTCGACTTGGAAAAGACGCAAATGTCGTCAAGGTACACAACCACGAAGTCAAATTTATCGAAGATGACCCGCAAAAGTCGGGACCAGACACCTGGAATTTCCATCAAGCCCGTAGGCGCAACACACCATTGGTATGTCTCCTTGTGAGTACAAAAAGCCTTGCATTGACGGCTGTGCTCATTTACAAGCATCTGGTGATATGTATGAGCCAAGTCGATCACAGTGTAAACAGTACAGCCTGTCATTTGATTAAAAAGCTCCTGAATGAGAGGCTGAGGAATTTTTGGAATTTTAGTTTGACTGTTCAAGTATCGATAATCGATAACCCAGCGAATAGGTTGCGAGCAAATTCCCGACCGAAGCCACTCACCCTAGGTGGGAGCTTGTCCAGTAACATGGTTCTTTTTTGGTACACCAAAAAGACGTTGGAAACCCACGGTGAATTTGAGACTTCTACCCAGCCTTTCTTAAGATTCTCTGTCACTGTGGACTTGAGCGCTGCTTGCTTCGTCTTGAAAAGACGAAAGGGGGATCGAGAGCTGGGAATGGCATCCGGTTTCATCTCAACTTCGAACTGCAAAGCACGCTTCGGCAGGAGACCATCAGGAAGCGTTTCCAAAAAAAAGACATCGCTATGTTCCAAAATAAGATCGTAAACCCAAACAGGTATGATATGGCTTGTGGTAACAAAAAATACCTTTACCATGTAAATCTCGGCGTATTCGTCTTGTCGCACATACGATGGTCGCGAAGGTCCACTTCGTACAGGGATTTGATTATACTGATCCGGCTGGGCCAACCCGTTCTCGTTTATGCCATCGGAGTTAGCGTGGGCCCTTTGGTGTAGAAATTTACCGGAGATCCAGTCCACCTGCGGGGCGTACGTGCGAAACCACGGAAGCTTAAAAATGACATCCTTATCAGCATCTAAGGGACTCTCCGTTAAAATCATACAGGCAAATTCTATGTCACTCATCCAAACAGTTGCTTCAACTGTCGACAACTCGGCTGGCGAAGTTAGAGAGCCATCGGACCTCTTCAGCTGTCCCCGATGTTTACGGATGACTCGTGGCGCAAGGCCTAGACGAATCACGTTGGTCGAAGATCCACAATCCAATTAGATCGTCACTTGCACACCATCAACCAAACCGCTTTTACGCAGCAAAGTAGGCTGTTGATCGACCAAGTGTACTTCAACAGCGTTGATAGTGTATTGATCGAACACGATCTCACTTTCTTCTTCTTCTTTCGTCTCTTGCACACTATCAATCATGCCGATTCTCCCGTTCGATCGCGATGAGCTCTGTTTTCGTGGCCTCGTCGGACACTCTGCGAGTCGATGTCCTGGCTGTTTACAATCGAAGCACAATTTGCGCTGGAAGCATTCATCCTTAGACACCACTTGCACATTATCAATTTCCGTAGGCTCTGGTCGGGCATCTTCGAAGCGCGGACGCGGCCTTATTTCTTGTCTACGAAACGGCTGCGCGCGTCTGGCGGTCCCGACGCCAGAATGCGATCGCCCGAAGTCATAAGCAACATTGATCGCTTGGCTTAAAGATTAGCATCTTCTATACTCGACTACGGCGCGAGTTTGGTTATTCAATCCCTGAGTGAAATAGAAAATGGAGTCAACTCACTCATATTTCGGAACTTAATCATCAGCTGTCGGAAGCGATCAACGAAATCCCCAAGGTCCCGGCATTGAACCTCATCCAGGTTTCGAAGCTGGTCACAAAGACGTATCTGAACGTCTGCGGGTACGAACTCTTGCTCCAGAAGAAAACAGAGCTCATCCACAGTCGTGATCCTGCGTCTTGACCAAACAAACCAGTCCGCTGCAGTGCCTACGAGCATGCTTTCAATGGCTGGAATGATTGTAGCTGCCATCGTCGCGCACTTCCAATTGACACACCTCACTGCAAAGTACTGCTGTACTTGTTCTTTAAAAAGCGCAAACGATTCTTGAACTTGCCCTCCATACCGGGGGGGAGCCACACCGGGGAGCCTTTATTGCGTCCAAACGTATGTCCTAAAGTGTTGTAGATTCAGCCATCTTTCTATCTTTTCTTGTTGCTGCGACTTCATCGCCAACATGCTTTGCATGAGCTCAGCATTTGAAGGCCCGCTCATGGCGTTTACAAAACTTCGCACAGCTTTTTTGCAGTCAGATCGGGGTCGAGTCGGGTTCAGGGTCTGCGTGTGGGTCTTCTGACCAGAAAGTGCTACCAGATGTGGTGCCGGGTTCAGGGTCTGCGTGTGGGCCTTCTGACCTGAAAGTGCTTCCAGATGTGGTGCCTTGGATGTAATGCCTTGATGGAGAATGCAAAGGGATTGCGTTAGGTCCTTAGTTCACACACAAGCTGCTGCTCTAAGCCTTCTGGATTCCATGGATGATTCTTTCACGATTTTAACTAAGACTAAACTCAATGGATTGCACAACGTGCTCTTTCACGGTCCGTCTGCAACCTGTAGCGGGGTTGTTCAACGTGCGCGTAGACGAAGGCAACCGCAATCATTCTGGAGCAGGATTGCACACCGTGTGCGTAAACGGCGTCGAAAGCCATTTTGAAACGAGCGCCTTTGCTACACTATCCATGGGGACTACTGCAGCCACTAAGGTGATTTTGCACTGATGAAGGCGTACCTCGTTCACGTTTTCCAACTCGGCGGACATGTTCTGGTCAACGGGGATTTCTACAGCCCTGTCAGGATGTTGCAATGATGGAGGCGTACCCCGCTCCACACTTGTCGTCAGAGCAGATGTATACTTTATCCGACAGAGACTGCAGCCGAAACGTTTTTGTGTTGCACTGATAGAGGCATATCCTGCACCACTCATGTTGTAACGGGGTCACACTAGCCTTTGGCTGAATCGGTCAAAGACCTCCCTTAAATGATTTGGAAGAATGTGTGTGACCTTGAATTTAATATCAGCAAGAGAATATCGATTAGTCGATATTCCCAGGTTTTCGGTACTTACCGTGTACGTGCTTTGTACCATCATCATTTGATGACTGAATGATGTGGCAACCATCCATTTAGTTCGATTACTACTATTTGTATTTAGGATAGTATAGGGTACAAAAAGTAGAATTTTCCTCGATGCAAAATCTAAATTAAGTGCAGTTCTCATTTTGAGCAGAAGTCCCTAGACTTCCCCCCCCCTTCGCACCTTGCGTTTGACAGTTCCTCAGAACTGTTGTAGGTAAGAGATTCTTTAGACTCCAGTATCCCCCTTGCGCACATTGTGCGTGTAGTTCCTCAGAACTATGTTAGTTGAGCTGTTAGCACGAAGAGTTCACCCGAGTTCCGTAGAAATAGTTGACTCTTTAAATTCATGTACTAGTTCCGTGGAACTAATAGGCTGTCAGCCATAAGCCGATGGCTTGTTAAAAATAAGTCTTCCTCTGACTTAAAAAGCTGTGTAGCTCCGCCACACTTAATAGCACTCGTAGTCAATCCTACACCTGAGTCGTGTCGACTGATTCTCTGTGAGTGATGGAAGGCCTTGCTGCCTTTGAGGCTCGACGTATTGCGCTTGATAAGCTTAGATCGTCGATAGGTGTCGAGCAGGTCGACCACATTGTGGCTAAAGGCGCAGAAGTGCTTAATGCAAGTCTTGATGCATTCCTGCAATTTGAGGCTACGCTGATAGGGCAGGTCCACGACCATTTAGCCTCAGCCGTGCCTACACGGTTCTTTTTAGTATCCGACAGTGAGTCCAAGACTCGTCCGCTCACCCTTAGCGTTGAGACTTTCGAGGGGAAAGAGGGGGAAAGTGTCCTCCTCTGGAACCGAGAAATCAATTTGGCTATTGAAGCCGCCTTGCGGCAATCGGAGCAACAGAAAGTTGGTATAGCCATTTTTAAGCTCGGTGGTAGAGCCATAGAATTGGCTCTTACCTGTGACACGTCGGTTAGCGCTGCGTTTTCCACATGGGATTCGATTAAACGAGAGGTGTCTCGGGTGTTCGCGCCACCGAATCAAGCGCATCGTGTTCGCTCTCGGTTCATATCCGCCAGGCAGAAAAAGAGAGAACAATCGGACTTTTTCCAAGAGTTGCGAACTCTCATAGCTGCTATGCAGCTGAACCCTCTTCCAGAGCAAGTCCGTGTCACCATTTTTATGGAGAGCGTTCGCACGGGTTCGCGAGGACGGAAGTCTTCCCCCATCACCCCTCAACTTTTGAGCAGGCTGTAGGCATAGCGTTGAATGCTGAGTGAAACTTAAAGCCGCTCGCTATGGCACTCATGGACATGCCCAAAGACCATTTGACGGGGCTGAGCCCTTGGACCTCATCTATGCTGAGAAAGAAGAAGAGAGAGATCTTCCGGATGTTGAATAGCAACGGTACGTCCGTAGATGTAACACATGCGGGAGCACCAAGCACGTGCGCCCACAGTGCCCACTGCGGTAGCCGCGTCTAAGTCGGCGATCCACAATCCGCCTCCTAACCTGAAAGTAGGTACGGAGAGGAATAAAGGCAACTCTCAGTAGTCGCATGGCGTCCTACCGTGGAGGATCTAGATTCTGCCGAATCTGTAGGTGGTAAAGATAGACAGGGCTTAGCCCCAAACGGTCTTGTGGAAGTTTCCACGAGACGTGAGTATATTAGCCAGGCTTATTAGTGGCCTCGGCTACAGTCAAGGCATAGAAGAGCCGTAATCAATTTTAATTGAATCTGGAGTATCAGGCAGCTATGCTCGACGCCGGTCCCTAGAGGGATGTCAGCAATATGCTTAGGCGCTGAAAGCGCATGAGGGTGATGTTATCACTGTTCACTCAGCGACAGGTACTCGTGTCGCCGTACCTAAAGTTACGTTGAACTTAGGTGTGAAGTTTTTAGATTTCGATAGTATCAGACGTTGTCTTGTCCTGGATTTGAAATCGAGACATGATATCATACTTGGTACGGCCTGGATTTAACGTCGTGAGCCATGGGTTAATTGGAGGTCAAAGGCTTAGGTGCAACGCGCAACGTTCCTTGTGAAGCTTTGGAGAGTCATGAACCTACCTTTGCTAGACAACAAAAGAGCTATTGGCGCGCGCCATTGACGGAGTCTGTAAGTGTTCTTGACATTGGAGTGTCTGAGCGAGTTGATTCTGATGTCATTGACCATATTTAAACGGTACGCATTCCGTTAAGTGACACTAGTAATGACAGTGTATCACTGAACGCTGGAAGAATTCGTGGCATAAGGCCGATTCATCCTGGGTTTGATCCCTGTGATGCGAGTGTAGTGGCACGAAAAAATCCACAGAGTGAGGTAGGCCGTAAAAGCACCACAATATATGTCGGTAATGACATTGGCTCTCAGAGAGAGCAGGTCGAGGTTGAAGATAATCTTCACCTCGTGAAACCGAATGTTCCTAACACGTTAGAGTGTTCATTTTCTGTACAGAGACGACAGCGACGCCAGATGGCGGCTGTGGAAAGAAAGGCTTATTTCATGACGCCGAAGGGCACTAGTGAGCAGTTGTACACGTTAGTCAATGGGGTGTCGGTTGCGATTGATGGAGAAGTTGGCCTCGAGGCCCTCCCATCGATGAATGTCTTGCTAGAGCTAGACGAAATGTCTGTAGACGAAATTCATCAAGCCATAAAGGCTGGTGCTTTGTCCGATATGGTGGTCCTTAGACCTGAGCTTGAGTTGAACTCGTTTACCTCTTGTAGATGCGACAGTCCTCAAGGACAAAAGCTGCACATAAAGCTTGCAGTGGATCTGCTATTTTGAAAGATCCTTCGGATCCCTTCTATCCTTTGGTAAAGGATTTTCAGGACGTGGTGTGTCATGATCCATTATCCACTCTACCTCTCGACAGAGCTGTGCGTCATGAAATTGACCTGGTCCCTGAAACCAAATATTGTGCTACACGTCGATATCCATTGCGTAAGGAACAGTGTGAGGTCATTTAAGATTTCTTTCGTGCAAAGCACGCGGCAGGCATGGTGCGGGAGAGCAGATCTCCACA